TATCTTCTTTTAAATGACTGTCTTTCTGTGTGCAAAAAGATTTCCTTCTATCTTCCTGCAGAAATTCTTCATCTACTGAGATGCAGCTCAAATTTGTTCTATTTAGGGAGTCTTTCCTAATCTCCTGCCCTTGCTCTCTTAAAAATTTCTTCTTTTCAACTTCTGGACATTACAGATACTTCTATCATCACTCTGAAAACATTATGTACATAGTGGCTTCCTCATCTGGACTCTAAGCTTTTGGAGAGAAGAGGGCATTGTTTACTATGCTGTCTCTAGGCCTGGTGAATACTTTGCCAGGAGTTGCTGCTCAAAAAAATGTTTATTAGCAATTCCCACTTAGAGCTTGCCTTGCAGAATTTGAACTTAACAGACAGCTGTCTTCATGATGTAATTTCAACAATGCTTAGAAAAATCCTTTTCTGTTCCATACCAGAACCCAATGAACACGTCACTACTAAACTTTCTTGACCTGGTGTCTAAACAGTCTGTAATACACAGTACCGCGCCCCCCTCCTTTTCACAATTGGAGGTAGACTAAATGCACATAAGCCAGGATGAAGAAATACTTTGACTTGAGGGGCGCCTGGGTAGCTCAGTCGGTTAAGTGACCTACTTCAGCTCAGGTTATAATCTTGCAGTTTGTGAGTTGGAGTACCGTGTCGGGCTCTGTGCTGACAGCTAGCTCAGAGCCTGGAGGTTGCTTTGGATTCCGTGTCTCCCTCTCTTTTTGCCACTCCTCCTCTCTCTAAAAGTAAAATAAACATTAAACAAAAAGTTAAAAAAAAAGAAATAATTTGACTTGAATATAAAGACAGGAAGGTGGTAACAGACACTTTGGATCTAATGTAGGGGTGTGCCAAACAGGTAGGAAGTTCAGGTCAAAAGTTTATCCTGGGGCAAATTCTTCTGAGACTTGCTTGCCCATCATAATTTATGTTTTTATTGGAAACTACAATCCAAAAATGGTCTGAAGAATGTGAAAAAAGTGTGATTTTTAAGTAGGAGTCAGAAATAGTAATGTATTCTCTGATCACCCATCTGTCTTTTTAGAATGCATAAATGCAGGGGTGCTTGGGTGGTTCAGTCGGGTAAGCGTCCGACTTTGGCTCAGGTCATGATCTCGCGGTTTATGAGTTTGAGCCCTGCATCTGGCTCTGTGCTGACAGCCAATTCAGAGCGTGGAACCTGTTTTAGATTCTGTCTCTCTCTCTGACCCTCCCCTGCTCGCACTTCTCTCTCTCTCTCAGAAATAAATAAAACATTTTAAAAAAAAGTAAAAAAAAAAAAATGCATAAATGCAGAAACGAGAAGTCTGGTTCCACCAAGCAACAGATTAAGGCAGCAAGTGAGCAAGGACAATTACAGTGCAAGTAATGGTCATCTTTTAATGACAATTCTACTAGAAATGAGCTTGATGCTGGCATAAGTTTTATGTTTTAGGATGTTGAATTGTCTTAGATGTATTTATAGACCACATTGTTTAAAATTGTCTAAATAAAATATTTATTTTATTATTTAAGAGTACTCTTAAATTTTTCACCCTAAAATTATTTCTGTGCTTGTTTGGTACAGAATATGCTTTATTAGCCAAGAATGTGATCACTAAGTGGACCAATGGCATATTAAAATTTTTTTCATTTAATTTTTAAAATATAAATTATTATATTTCAAACATGGATTTAAAAAATAGGTCTTGGCAGATATTAGTCATTTATTTTCTGTGTTCCTCACCCAGACCGACTGTCTCCCAAAATTGCCATTACAGTTAGCTTTTTATTTATACTTTAAACTTTTATTTTTGTTATATATCTTACTTCATTGAAAAATAGTTCCAGTCATTCCAAAATGCATTCCTGGACTTATAAATATGCTTTCTAATTTCATTCAATTATTCACTATCTAGAAAAATTCAGTTTCAGATCAACTACAGAATAAAATAAGTAAAATAATTATATAGACTATAAATCTAAGGGTTGGGGACAATGCATAGGTGGTGCCCCCTACCCAAGAATGATAGGTTGAATGGCGTCCTTCTCTCCGCAAAGAAATATCCAGTTGGCACCTGTGAGTGTGGCCATATGTGGAAACGGGGTTTTCAAAGATGTTATTAAATTAAAGCTCTTGAGATGAGCTCATCCTGGCTGACAGTTGGGCCCTAAAGCCGTGACAAGAGTCCTCAGAAGAGAAGGGAAAAGACACAGGGAGAAGGCAGTGTGAAGGAGGGGGAGATTGAAATGATACATCTGCAAGCCAAGGAACACTAAGTATTGCTAGCAGCCACCAAAATCTGGGAGAAGAAAGAAAGGATTGTTCCTTAGAGCTGTTGGAAGAAACACAGCTCTGCTGACACCTTGAATCAGATTTCTGGCTTCCAGAAATATAAGGGGGCATATTTCTATTGTTTTATGTGACCACATTGGTCATTATATGTTAAGGCAGCCCGAAGGGGCTAATATAATGACTAATTACGTTGCTTTTCTACTATAAATATGTTCTGAAAAACACAATTCACATTTCTCTCTCTGTCTACACACACTACACACATTGTGAAAGAGTTAAATTGGATTTCTGACATTAACAATGTAAAATTATAATCTTTTTTAAATGCATATTTATTTTTGAGAGACAGCGAGACAGAGCATGAGGCAGGGGAGGAGCAGAGAGAGGGAGAAACAGAATCCAAGGCTCTGAGCTGTCAGCACAGAGGCCGATGTGAGGCTCAAACTCATCAACTGTGAGATCATGGCCTGAGCCGAAGTTGGACGCTTAACCAATTGAGCCACGCGGGTGTCCTGAAAACTAAAACCTTCCTGAACTTCCAAGAAAAATTTGGTTTCAGATGAAGAAATTAAAGAAAGAAATCACAGGATCATTCATTGATCAGAAGTCTTACACATTTGTGGGATGCCTGGGTGGCTCAGTCAGTTAAGCGTCTGACTTTGGCTCAGGTCATGATCTCACGGTTCGTGGGTTCCGGCCCCGTGTCGGGCTCTGTGGTGACTGCCAGCTCAGAGCCTGGAGCCTGTTTCAGATTCTGTGTCTCCCTCTCTTTCTGGCCCTCCCCTGTTCACGCTCTCTCTCTCTCTCTCTCTCTCAGAAATAAATAAAACTTAAAAAATTAAAAAAAAAGAAGTTTCACACATTTGTTTTGCTACTTTGATGTGTACAGAGCTTCCAGCCAGACTGAGTAAGGATGCTTTCTGTTTTCAGTGAAGACGTGATGCTGTATATGAAATTAGCATTCTATGGCAACTAGCTGCCAGTCGAGGTAATAAAACTAAAAGATTCATATACCAACAATTAATGATGCTTAAAAAGTATTTCCAATATCATAAAAATAAATGGAGGAGTATTTATGAAAACAAGCATTTTTTTTTCTCTTCTGAAAATAATCATCTTGCATACTTAAGAGTACCTTCCAACTTGTGGGTTTTATCTTTGGTATGAGAAGTTGCAGGGATAATTTACTGATATTTTTTCTCAGGTCATTCTTTGGAAGGAGGCACATTTTGCTCAATTGTGGGAGAATTTGGTATCTGATTCTAGAGGCCGATTTCTCTATGCACCTTCACTCACTGGAATACCTTTATTAAGGAGAAGTTCTCTCTTTTTTAAAAATTCATTTTAAGTTTTTTATTTCTTTTGAGAGAGAGAGAGATGCAAGGAGGGGCAAAGAGAGAGAGGGAGAAAGAGAATCCCATGCATGCTCTCCACTGTCAGTACAAAGCCAATGTGGCACTCAAACTCACGAACTGTGAGATCATGGCCTGAACCGAAATCTAGAGTCAGACACTCAACCGACTGAGCCACCCAGGTGCCCCAGCAGAAGGTCTCTTTCACATGCCAGCCTCCTGGGAGATCATTCAAGAAAATGCTTGAAAACTTCACTCAAATCAGTTATGAAGGCATCACTTATTGCAAGAGCAGGCTCTTCTAACAGAATCCCATACTACCCAGACACAGACTTAGTTATATCTGACAGGAACTAAATCCTAATATTCCAATAGAAGATGACTAAAATGAGAATCCACTGAAATGACAACAACTTAACAGTTCAGAGCATGAACATCATGTACTTTGTCACTAAAAGTAACAATGTCTACAGGGCATATGAACTAAAATCCAAAGGATAGAAGAAAACCCTTTAAAGGTATCAATCACCACCAAGCTCTTTAAACTTTCCATGGACAACAGCCTGCATCTTTAAAATAGGAGCAGTTCTCAGGGCTGCAGAGGCCAATTTGTTCACAAAAGAAATCCCTCATATACTGAACTAACCTTTGTTACTCATGATCCCCAGACAGCTCCCTTAGCTAGAGTTGGGGGAGGGCTCATTGCAGTTTTCTTATTCCTTTTTTTTTAACTTTTAATTTTTAAAATTTAATTGTGAGAAAGAAAGAGAGAGAGAGAGAGAGAGAGAGAGAGAGACAGCGTGACCAGGGGAGGGTCAGAGAGAGAGGGAGATACAGAATCTGAAGCAGGCTCCAGGCTCTGAGCTAGCCATCAGCACAGAGTCTGACGCAGGGCTTGAACCCACGAACCGCGTGATCATGACCTAAGCCGAAGTCAGATGCTTAACAGACTGAGCTACCCAGGCACTCCTCTTATTCCTATTTCTTATTTCTTATTCCTATCCAGTCCTATTAGGTGCCCTCAATACTTGGCACAAGGAAGGAAAGAAGTGAAGGATGGGGAGGAAGGAAAGAAGGAATGATGGGAAGGAAAGAAAGAAGGAAAGAGTTACCATTGACGGTAAAAATAAAATAGGAAATTAATTTCACTTGAGGGAGATCTTGGCATTGTCAGTGGAGATTTAGTTTATTTTTTACACATAATGATGGGATGACTTCTAATTACTGCTTTGTAAAGGTCTTTGTGGAATTAGGCAACAGTTAACCAATTTTCTATCATGTTGTAAGATGTGGATAAACAGTGGCTTACACTCCATTCAAGTTCCTAAAGTTGATTTCATTTACTTTTCTCTGAATGTTTTGTAGCTTCAACAAATAGTTCACTTACGGACAGACAACAGAGAAGTTCCACACCTCCTGCAGCAGGTAATATGCTTTTAAATTTTTTTCCAGAGGCCAGAGCTAAGGGGAGGAAGAGCTGAACTTCCTTAGAAGCAGGGCTGATGGTCTGGCCAGGGGGCCAGCGTGAGCCCAGCTGAAGAAAACGGTGACCTGAGTGCCGAGGTGTGAGGGACCCCGATGACCCGGCCCTCCTCCCCCGAGGCAGTTCACATTCCCTCTGAGGACTAAGGAGCCCTCCCTGCCAGGCACTGGGCTGGGCCATATGGGGACACGGGGGGCCGGGGGGGGACGAGAGGGGCGAGAGCACCAGAGCACCCTAAGGGGCCCATTTTGTGGGGGAGCCCAGATGTAGCCCAGATGGCATATAACATAGAGGAGATGAGCACCCACATCAGGTGTGCCGGGAACGTAGAGGAGAAGGTTAAGCAGCAAGGCTCTGAGGAGGCTTCACAGCGGATGCAGCATGTGAATTGGCTCTTAGGGGAAGAGGAGCATTTTCGGAGACAGACAGTGGCGTGCAGGCCACCCCAGAGAGGGCAGGAACGATGTGAGGACAGACCTAGATCTGCAGGTGTGCTTGGTGCTTTCTTTGTGAAGTGTGGGGGTGACCTTGGGGTGGCAGGATGGCAAAGGTGAGTCAGTTTGAAAAAGAGGCCTTAGAAGCCAACGCCAGGACATGCAAGGACTGTCTTGGGGCAGAGGGAGGTCTCTGAAGGCTGCTAGTGGGAGGGGATCACACCCGTGTCACAGAATCCTGGACCTGCTGCAAGGCCAGGCGTGAACTGAAGAGTGGAGAGATGGGAGACAGACACAGACGTCAGGAGGCTTCTGCGGGCACCCAGCTGTGTGGACCTAGGGTCTGGCAGTGAGCACAGAAAGGAAAAGCCCAAAAGCCCATGGGGGTTGTCTGTGTGCAGAAGGCGGGAGGAGACGGGAGGAGAGTCGTAGACACAGGAAGCAGGAAAGCTGGGACGTGACTGCTGGTTCCGGAGCAAAGGGGGTGAATCTACCCACTTTCCCTCTGTGACGGGAGGTGAAATCCCCGTAGCTGATCACAGGGCTGTGAGATTATATTTGAGAGACAGGTGCCAGCCCCTCTGAGTGTGGAGGAGACCTGGTCACTGGTAAATTATCACAACCGGTGTGAATGGAGAAAGAGGAAGATTCAGAAAGGGTGAAAAACAGCGGTCACAGGTGGAGGGGGTTGCTGGAGGGCAGAGAGCAGAGGAAGGTGAGAGAACAGACAGTGTCCACGGTGCTTGGGATCCTCGCCCCGGGAGCTACTTCTCTGGAGACGGTGCCCCTGTTAAAGCACATATGATTATTTGGTTAGCTGGTAATTTCCTTTAAAATAAGAGAGTCAGATCTCGAGACTAAAAGCAGGCAAAATATGGAAACCTTAGACTGTTCAGAAGCAGAGGTACAAAGCCCTGAGAACACAAAAGAACATTCACAAGGTCCTCCTCACCAGCCTCTTCCCTTTGTGGTTTCATCGTCAGTATCCCGCTCTTGAGCACATGGAGCTCACCCACACCCCCTCTAGCTGTCCTCCAAGCAGCCACCTTCATGCTTGTTTATAAACCTTGGTCAAGGCGCATTTTCCCTGTGCGTGAGGGTCGCCCCTTCTGAAGTGGATGGATCCTGGATTTCACTGCTCTCTCAGATCTGCTTTAAAATTCACCCCCTTGCTTCACATAGTTATGGGATTTTGATTTGTTTGTGAAATGCAAGGGTATGAGTCCATCACATAAGAAGCAAGTGACACCGGAAGAGAGGAGGAGAGATTTCAACTGCAGAGTTTAGCACTCAGAAGCTCCATCTGGATAGAAGCTTTCCCTTTCACAGCTGTTTCTGCTCATGTTAGACTGATGAGCTCCCTGCCGCTTGCCTGAATCACTGGTGCATCCTAAGGAATGCCCCTACTCCACTCGAAGCAAACACCCCCCAGCCACAGACACATTATGTCAGTTTGTGGGAGAGCCAGAGCTTATAGACTGGAGAATATTCGTAGGTTGTGGGCTCAATTTTTACCTAAAAGATGTACAAAAGAGAGAACTTCTTCATTTAATCCTCATAATTAGGTAGGAAGTACCAGACACTGAATCTGTGAGCAAAATTCACACTTGCACTGTTTGACTGTAGGTGTGACTCAACGGAGAGGAAGGAAGGAAGAAGATCTATGGATTTTATGAGTGTGTGATTCTCCAAATAAAAATAGCTCAAAAAGAGTGCAGCTTGGTCAACCTGAATACCATGTTATTTATAATGGAAGTACCACACGCTTCTTATATTTATGTTTGTCTGAATTACCACCTTAGGGGTAGGCATTTCATTCTGATATTAGTGATGTATTCTCTCTCATTGAAACTTAGGAGGAAAAATTTTCTCCTGGTCAACTTCTCCACTTTTTATCCCAAGGAGCTTGAGTTATTAGAGAAATCTAATAGTCTCTATGACCAAAATATTAGATTCAATCATTTGTCCTTCAATTTATATTGTGTGTTTTTTCATACATATCAAAACTTCTGAATCAATTTTAAGCTCTTAACAATTTCTTTAAAAAATTTTTTTGTTTATTTATTTGGTGAGAGATTGCAGGGGAGGGGTGGAGAGAGATGGGGAGAGAGAATCCCAAGCAGGATCTATGCTGTCAGTACAGAGCCCAAAGTGGGGTGCAAACTCACAAACTGTGAGATCATGTCCTGACCTAAAATAGAGTCAGATGCTCAGCTGACTGTGCCATCCAGGTGCACAAAGCCCTTAATATATTTCTAACACATATGAAAATATAGATTATCTACCATATGTTTTCACTCATATGTGGAACAGGAGAAGCTTAACAGAGGACCATAGGGGAGGGGAAGGGGAAAAAATAGTTAAGGAGAGGGAGGGAGGCAAACCATAAGAGACTCTTATATACTGAGAACAAACTGGGGGTTGATGGGGTGGGAGAGAGGGGAACAAGGGTGATGGGCATGGAAGAGGGCACTTGGGATGAGCACTGGGTGGTATATGGAAACCAACTGGACAATAAATTGCAAAAAATAAAAATAAAAAATATAGATGATCTAAACACATGCAATAAGAAAAACATGCTCATTTTGGAATATTTTTAATGTGTTATATATATTTTGTGCATCTTTAAGTTTTATGTAAGCCTAATATTTTTGGAATAAGATCACCAGGAAAGTCACATTCTCGTATATGTTGTAATATGTTATAGAAAATTTAACATGGATTTCTTTACCAAGTTTTCTATCATCATTCTCTTTGTGTGTGTGTCCAGCTAACACTTCCCTGTCTGTACGTGTGGGTACAAAGGCTGTGCTCTCTTGCCCTCCCGTCACCTCGACAGCTGTGCAGGTAACCACCTGGGAAATAACCCTCAGAGACCAGCCTGCCTGCACTAGAGCCTACAGGAGAGATACGAACGAGACCAGGGCCAAAAACTGTAGTGACGAGACAATATCCTGGGACACCAGACATGATCAGAACCCTGTCCTTCAGATTGATCCAGTGGCCATCACCCATGATGGATATTACAGGTGTGAAGTGGCCACACCTGAAGGGAATTTCTATCAGGGATATCACCTGCAAGTGACAGGTAAGGAGCATCATGTATGGTGGTGTTTCGGATAACCCGATTCGGACTCAAACAAATGTCTCTCTGTATTGGATCCATATCCCTGAGTTAAGACTCAAGTGTTTCCCCCCCTGCATGTCTGCAGTGCCCCCTGAGGCGACCCTTTTTCGAGGCAAGAATGGAACTGTCGTGTGCAGGGCAGCTGCAGGGAGGCCAGCGGCGCAGATCTCCTGGACCCCAGCGGGAGATTGTGACACTGAGGAAGAGCCACTGGGCAATGATACAGTGACTGTGCAGAGCACGTGCCTCTGGGAGGACCACCCGGTGTCCACTGTGTCCTGCTCTGTGTCCCATCTCACTGGCAACCAGAGTCTGTCCATAGACCTAAATTCAGGTTAGTAATTCTAGCTTTTGTATGATGTTTTCATTCTTTCAGAGAAGTTAGGGAAGAATGAAAAAGGAGTGTGTGGAGAATTTCACTCAAGGATAGTCTCCCCAGCCTCTCTTTTATATCCTTCTCTTCCACCGTTAAGGGTTATGTCCACAAGAATCATGCAGAAAATTGGTTTCAGAAGCCATATTTTAAATGATGTTTCCTTGTAAATAATTATAATAAAAATAAATAAAAAGAATTTAAATTATTAAATTTAATTCTTTCTGTTCTATACAAGTAGGAAGTTGGCTTGAGTAGTGAGTGTACTATTAAAATACTACTTATGGTTTTAGGAGAAGGATAAAGTGTGTTTTTAAACAAATATTTATGCTTTTTAAGAAAGGTCCAGTCACTCATAAGTTTTCTTCACAAATGTTTTTGGTAGGATTTTATTTTCCAGGTTCTTCTATAATTTCTTAGCTATTGTATAATAACCTCTATGATCCATTTAAACTTTACTCTTTAGTTTCTTAAAAATATAGGTACTTCCTAATCGTCATAAGCTCAGTGATAAAGTCTGGAAACTCCTCTTACTGCAATTTTCCACATGGCCAAATTTATTTATTTATTTTTTTATTTTTTTTTACAAATAGTTTATTGTCAAATTAGTTTCCACATAACACTCAGTGCTCATCCCCACAAGTGCCCTCCTCCATGCCCCTCCCCCCCTCCCCCCCACATCCATCAGTCCTCAGTTTTTGTCAGCATTCAAGAGTCTCTCATGGTTTGCCTCTCTCCCTTTCCCCCACCATTTCCGCCCTTCTTCTCCCCCTTGTTCCCCCGTCAAGTTCCTCCTAATCCTCCATTACGTGCACACATATGATATTTGTCCTTCTCTGCCCGACTTATTTCGCTCAGCATAACACCCTCAAGGTCCATCCAAGTTGCTACACATGGCCAGATTTCATTGTTTCTCATTGCACATGGCCAAATTTATTAGATAACCTATCATTTCTTTTTTCCCCTGAAGACATCCTTTCTTGAGTGTTTACGCGCTCTTGTTCTAATCTGCCTGCTGGGCCCCTAGACCTGCTGCACAGCTCTGGTCCTGGACACGTTTTGCCCTTGTCCGTCCTCTGCCTGATTCCAAGTCTGTTTAATCTGCGTCCCTTCTGCCTTCCTGACCTTTGCTAGTTTTAGTGTTTTTGGTTTATGTATGAAGCTTTTCTAACCTCTAGTGATCCTTGGTCCCCCGTTCATTTCAAAGTGAGCATTCAAAAGTGAGTTGATTGGAGGCTGTGTCTGTGGGTGGTCCTGCCAACTAGTTGGCATCAATAGGCCGAAAGAGGGTCAATGAACTTTTTTCTAATGAGGGATTCTTTAATTATCTGAAGGTCTTATCTTTGATTCTGCTCAGGGTCTGCAGAAAATAAGTCTCCAGTCTGTTTCCTTAGTGGGCTAAGGCTGACCATTCCTGTTATGGGAGCAGAGAGAGGGAAGTGTGTGTGTGTGTGTGTGTGTGTGTGTGTGAGAGAGAGAGAGACAGAGAGACAGACAGAGACAGAGACAGAGAGGGAGGGAGAGACTGTTCAGAACTCAGCCTTTTCTCTTTAGTCTAGCACGTCATCTCCACCCTCCACTGTGTCTGGATCCTTGACTCTCCAGCTCACTCTGTCTGGGTCAGACTTCCTACTTCCTGCTGTTTGTGAAGGTGTAGTGAGTGACCTGCCTGCTCAGGGTGGGGGTGTACTGGGCAGCCTGCCTCTTTTCAATACAGACCTTCAGGGGCGCCTGGGTGGCTCAGTCGGTTAAGCGTCCGACTTCGGCTCAGGTCATGATCTCACGGTTAGTGGGTTGGAGCCCCGCGTCGGGCTCTGTGCTGACAGCTAACTCAGAGCCTGGAGCCTATTTCAGATTCTGTATCTCCCTCTCTCTCTGACACTCCCCTGCTCGCACTGTCTCTCTCTCTCTCTCAGAAATAAATAAAATATTTTAAAAAATCAATACAGACCTTCAAAGAAGCTTCCAGCATTTAGCTCACACTTCACCCCCTACAAATCCCTTTTTATATATTTAGTCCTTCCTATTCTAGAATCTTCTAGGTCTTCTGTGGGACACTAATATCCTTACTTATTCCACCCTAAATGACTTGCCTTCTTCTGTTCATTTTTCACCTAAAAACAAGTTGAAATATTTCATCTGCTTGTCTTCCTCCATGTTCTCTTTGTCTTTGCAAGTCTATTTTTAAAAAATTGCCTGATATTATAGTAATTTTTAAAAAGGAAGAAGAGAAAAAACCCATTTCTTTAAACTATCATTTTCCAATATCCGTTCATAAAGTGATTTTAAAAATGATTTTAGCAGTATTTCTGGAGAAGAGTAATGGTGCCCTGGTTGTGTATGAAATTCAACCACCAGGTATTACCATATGATGTTATATCAGTAGAATTTCAGAATTGAAAGACAGTCTGGTCCACTCCCAGCCAGTCTCCTTCCGTCTCTCTTGGAGGGCAGATCTTCAGCCTCTACGGTTACGCTTTTTTTGTTTTTATGTTTATTTATTATTGAGAGACAGAGGGAGACAGAGCACTAGCATAGAGGGGTCAGAGAAAGGGGGAGACACAGAATCTGAAGCAGGCTCCAGGCTCTGAGCTGTCAGCACAGAGCCTAATGCAAGGAACTCACAAACTGAGAATTGAACCCAAGGGGGACACTGAACCGACTGAGCCACCCCTGCTCCCCTCTGTGGTTCCACTTCTAAAGAAGGACAGCGCATTAGTTTTCAGGAGGGGGTTTCAAAACAGATGTTGTTGTTTTCAACTGCAAGAAGATGTTTATTTTCAAATAGAATACAGAGAAATGCAATGTGTCAAAACAAACTGTTGAAGGAAGGCAGAGGGAGTGGACAGCAGCCTGCTTAGTCTCCACTCACCCCCTCTGCTGGGGGACCCATTCAGGGCACAGCAGGAGCAAGGTCTAAAACCACTGCCTCTCAGAGCTGGCGATTCCTGTGGTCTTCTTCTCTTGTCAGGCTGAGCTTTATACTGTGACAGCATTTAAGTCATTCAGTCAGCATTCAGCATTCAGTCAGGTTCAGGGCCCTGGAAGAACGGTGACCTCAGAATTAGGTAATTTTCCAAATTACCTCCATTACAGCTCCCCACCCGTTTCTGAATAGTGGAGATGAGAGACCCTGCTGTTCCTGTAACCAAGCAATCTACTCTCCTCACCTCTCCTGTACGAATTCACCATTTTTGAATCCTTAAAACCACAAAATCCCGACTTAGGATGATGTCTTGCCACAATCCTTAGGATCAGAATAGATAAAGCAATTTTATTATAACCATTATTTGAACCCTTAATGGCTCAGAAATGTTTAAAATCACAGAAGTGAATTCCATGACCTATGAGACATCCTTGAATCATATCTATCTATCTATCTATCTATCTATCTATCTATCTATCATCTATCTATCATCTATCTATCTATAATTTTATACTTCATATATATTTAGTTTCAATACACTTTAGTTTTTAGAGCTGTGTTAGGTTCCCAGCAGAACTGAATGGAGGCCACAGAGTTCCCATATGACTCCTGCCCCACCACCTGCACACCCTCCTCCCCTGCCTCCATCACTTATGCCACCGGGTACATTTGGGGTAGTTGATGAGCCAACGGTAACACAACACTATTACTCAAACTATGTGATTTAATTAGGGTCACTCTAGGTGCAAAATTGGTGAATTTTAGCATCTACACAGCTGGCAGGGGTCCCCCATTGTAGTTTCACACAGAGTAGTTTCATTGTCCTAAGGTCCTCCATGCTCCACCTCCTCATCCCTCCCTCCACCTAACCTCTAACAGCCTCTGATCTCTTCACTGTCTCCATAGTTTTGCCTTTTCTGGAATGTCATAAACTTGGAGTCATACAGAATGTAGCAGTCTCAGACTGACTTCTTTCACTTAGTAAGATGCATTTAATTTCTTCTGTGTCTTTTCATGGCTTGGCAGCTCATTTCTTTTTAGTGCTAAATATATTCCATTGTCCAGATGCACCACTTTTAAACCATGTATTTTTTGTCTATATTTGCAGAAGACCAGGCATCATCAAACTCAAAAATCTTATACATCAGCATCTCTATTGCGATTATCTTGATCATTGTGGGATCCATTTGCCTTTTGAAACTTGGTGTCTGCAGGTATTGACTGATGTTTTTTCTTTCCCAGCTTTATTGGGCCAGAAGGGGTCAGAAATAGGGAACTGACAGGTGAAATTAATATACTAACATCAATTGTCCCATAATCAAGAAGCCGTTCTAACTGTGTAGATTTGGACTACTCTAAATGACAACACAGAGTTGTCTTGGTTACTTAGGAATGTAAGCACAGTGAATTAGGCCATTTAGGACAAGATCGTGGGAAAACTAGTGTATGTTAAATTTCTATATCAGTAAATAGTTACAATAATTTAGGCAATAGATGGAGATATCACATTTATTCCATTATATCAAGTTCTATTGCATAATTTCACCCTTATCCCAACATCCAGAGCTATCTTGTCTACATGTATTAACTAAAAGCAGCTTTCTTATTTCTGGTTTCAGTTCTGATTTATTTTGAATTCTACCAAAAATGAACCACACTTGTCCATAGTATACTGTTTTGTTTTCCCATTTTTAACTAAATAGTGATGCTTCCTTCATTCACTCCAGGTCATGTGTGTGTGTTTTTTTTTTTTAACAGAAAATGCAAATTAAAAAAAATAGAAGCTAATTCAGTTGTTGAGGAGGTAAGATAATATAAAGAGAATATTTGCAAACTTGTAAGTCACATGGTCTGAAAATACAGCCACATAATTTGTAATTTGTGTCATATTAGTATTTTAATTTGAATGTATAACTTCTAATTTTATAATGCTAATAGTCAGCCATACTTATTTTATTAATTATCTACCATGTTACTATTTATATACACCATAAATCATTTTTTCCATTTCAGTTACAATATCTTACAAAACACAGAATGTTTAGAATGTAATCTTCAGAGAAACTGAATTGTTTTTTACTCCCCCATGAAACTATCTCTAATCCTTGACTTCCCTTTCTCAATACCATCATCATTTTCCTCTTACCTGGGCATAAATCCTAGCCTGCTCCAAATCTCATATAACTAGTAGCCGACCAAGTGTTTGACCCTCTCCTTTGAAATACCTCTCATATTACTTCAATTCCTCTTCATTCCTACTTTCACACAATCTTTTTCATTTGACACTGAGACCTACATAATCTACACTTTTTTGATAAGATAATAGAAGAAAGTCTTTTATGTCCATCTAAGCCCAGAGATACAGATATTGGCACTATTGGTAGATACTAAAGCTGTGGGCACCAGTTAGGAAAACATAGGTAGTTAATGACTTCTAGATTTTTTTATTTGATTTTGACTTTGAGTTCTTTCTCAGGAGGAAATGCAGCCCTATGCCAGCTACACAGAGAAGAACAATCCACTGTATGATACCGTGAGCAAGGTGAAGCAGTCTGGGGTGTTGCAAAATGAAATTGATGGGCTGTGACTCCAAACTTCATAAGTTACTGGAATCTAGCACTAGGACAAATGAATAAAGATACAGTACAGCTACCATTCTGATTTTCTTAGGGTCTTACAATAGAAAACCTATTTTGAGATTAGCTTTTCAGAGATTCTGAGAACATACAGACTTTTAAAGTGTTTGGTTTCATATTCTTACTTATATAATTGATATTTTAGAATGTTAGCTGCTATTAGCTAGTTCTCTGAAGAACTGATATTATTACAAAGAAAGCAAATGCACATGATAAAATATTCTAACGGCTTAGTACCGTAGATAATGAAAAATTAATTCCTTCAAGAAAGAACTCTGCAGAAGGAACAATCATCAATAGGTTTTATGTATTCCTCCAGAAAATTTTGTGTACATACATATGCTAAAGGTATGTATATGTGTACATTTATAAGGCCTTACATATATACCCATTTCATTGTCAAGATTCATATGGGAACATACCATGATGCTCTTCTGTACTGATAGAAAGCTATAATATAATAGGTCTTGGAGATCTTTTATATGAATGCAATCAGAGCTACCTCATTCTTTTTAATGGTTATAAAACATTCCATTGTATGGTCATGTCATAATTTAAATAGCCATAGCCCTGGTGATAGACATTTAGATTGCTTTAAGTTTTGTTTGCATGTTTTGCTGTTATAACCAATGACACATAGAATGTTTTTTGTGGATATGACTCTTTGTATTTGTTTCAGTATATTTATAGCGTAATTTCCCTGAGTGGAATTACCAGGTCAAAAGGGTTTGTGCATTTTTGTATTGATTGATATGTCAAATCGTATCAATTTACATTCCCTTCAACTGTGTTTGAATGTGTGTTTCCATACACTGTTATTTTAATATATGCCAGATTCCCACTTCTTGTTTTTAATCAACCAGTTAACTAATGTGATGTAAGATTATAATAAAAATTACACTATTTGACAAAACTGGATTTATGTTTTCCTGTCATGTTTATGAGACAGCATGAATGAGAGGGAACACTTGATGAATTAGCTTTCTGAACTCATTTGCTGTCAATAGAGATTTTGATGGCTAATGCCTAACAGTTTTGCAGATGTGGTAAATTTAAAATGAGTATTTTAGTGAAGTACATTTTATTGTGAGGTACTTGGCAAATAATAGATGTTCACTGATTATATAAGCAGCTAAATTTACATTTTGAAGAATTTTTTAAAAAATTTATTTCTGAGAGAGAGAGAGAGAGAGAGAGAGAGACAGCGTGAGCAAGGGAGGGTCAGAGGGAGGGAGACACAGAATCTGAAATAGGCTCCAGTCTCTGAGCTGTCAGCACAGAGCCTGACGCGGGGCCCGAACCCACGACCTGTGATATCATGATTAAGCCGAAGTCGGACACCTAAACGACTGAGCCACCCAGGCGCCCCTGAAGAACTCCCCCCTGAAGAAGTCCCCCCCTGAAGAATTCCCCCCGTGAAGAATTCTTTTTAATGGTTATCCCTAAAATTGGTTTATATGCTAAGAGAATGACCAAAGGATGACATGACCCTTCCCCTCAATTTTTCTGTGGAATGTACTATTCTGTGGAATGTAGTATTAAGAGTGTATAGATTGGGTCACCTGGGTGGCTCAATTGGTTAGTGCCCAACTTGAGCTCAGGTCATGATCTCACAGTTTGTGGGTTCAAGCCCTGCGTCGGGCTCAGTGCTCACAGCTAGCTCAGAGCCTGGAGCCTGTTTTCAGATTCTGTGTCTCCCTCTCTCTCTGACCCTCCCCTGCTCACGCTGTCTCTCTCTCAGAAACAAATAAAACATTTTAAAAATTTTAAAAAAAGATAATGAACTTATCCATCACCCCCAAGTGCTCTTATTCTTCTTGGTAATCCTACGCTATACTCTTGCCCTCTTTCCTCCCCAAGCAACCACTGACCTGCTTTCTATAACTATATCAGTTTGAATTTTCTAGAGTTTTATATAGATGTGATCATACAATATGTGCTCCTTTTTTGTGGGGAGATAGTCCTAGCATCTTTCATTCAGCATAATTATTTGAAATAAGTTCACACATTAATAATTTTATTACTAAAAATTATTTTTATTTTTATTATTTATTTAATTTTTATTTTTACCACCTCATTTATGGATATACCACAGTTTGTTTATCCATTTACTTGTTGATGGACATTTGAGTTTCTCCAGTTTTAGGCTATTACAAATAAAACTGCAAACATTCTTGTATAAGTATTTTTGTGCACATGTGCTTCTATCTTTCTGAGTAAAAAGCTGTGAAGGGGTGAGCTGTATCATACAGTATGTGGATGTTTAACTTTTAAGGACGTTACCAAATTGGGGCATCCATGGCTCAGTTGGTTAAGCATCCAACTCTTAGTTTCAGCATAGGTTATGATCTCATGGTTTGTGAGTATGAACCCCTCATTAGGCTCTGTGCTCACAGTGCAGAGCATACTTGGTCTCCCTCTCTCTCTGCCCTTCCTCTGCTCATGTATTCTATCTCTCTCTCAAAGTAATAAACTAACTAACTAAGTAAATAACCAAATTGTTTTTTCAAAGTGGTCATGCTATTTTACAATCCACCCACCAATGTCTGAGATTTCTAGTTCTTGCATATTTTTATCAATACATGGTATGATCAGTCATTTTAATTTTAGACATGACAGTAGATGTGTATTTCTCTTTCATGATTTTAAAATGTTTTTTTTTTTTATTATTTCTAGGAGAGAGAGAGAGACAGCGTGAGCAGGGGAGGGTCAGAGAGAGAGGGAGTCACAGACTCTGAAATAGGCTCCAGGCTCTGAGCTGGCAGTCAGCACAGAGCCCGACGCGGGGCTCGAACCCACGAACCGCGAGATCATGACCTGGGCGAAAGTCGGACGCTTAACCGACTAAGCCACCCGGGCGCCCCTTCTCTTTCATGATTTTAAAAATGCTTTATTATTGGGGCACCTGCATGGCTCAGTTGGTAAAGTGTCTGAATCTTGATTTTGGCTCAGGTCATGATCTCACTATTGTGAAATCGAGCCCTTGTTGGGCTCATGCTGAGTGTGGAGCCTGCTTAAGGTTATCTCTCCCTCTGCCCCTCCTCTACTCATGCTCTCTCTCAAAAAAAAAAAAAAAAGATGAGGTATCTAGGCAGCTCAGTCAGTTAAGATTTAACTTCGGCTCAGGTCATGATCTCACAATTCATGAGTTCAAGCCCCATGTCGAGCTCTGTGATGACAGCTCAGAGCCTGGGTCCTGCTTCAGATTCTTTGTCTCCCTCTCTCTCTGTCCCTTCCATGCTCTCGTTCTGTCTGTCTCTCAAAAATAAGTAAACATAAAGAAATTAAAATTTTTTTAAAGAAAGAAAAAGAGATTTATTTATCAGAGTATAGTTGACACACAATGTTATTTTAAAATGTGGTTTTAATGTATAACTCCCTAAACACTAATAATGACTGTCTTTACCATATACTTCTTTATCACTCATATATTTTATTTAGTAAGTGCTGAAATGTTTCTCTCTTTTAAAAATCTGAGAAGTTTATTGATTTTGCTTTGTTTTTCTGAATAAAAGTCCTTTCATTCTCTTTGCAGTGTTCACTGTCTTTTGAAGAGATGCTTTTGTTGTTGTGGATTTGTTTTGTTTTGTTTCTAAGAGAAGACATTTTTGATAAATAATTTATTGAGTTTTTCCTTTATGTATTTGCATTTAGGAAATTTTTTTCTTTCTTTTTTTTTTATATTTTTATTATTTCTAGGGGAGAAAGAGAGAGAGAGTGTGAGCAGGGGAGGGTCAGAGAGAGAGGGAGACATAGACTCTGAAACAGGCTCCAGGCTCTGAGCTGGCAGTCAGCACAGAGCCCGACGCGGGGCTTGAACCCACGAACCGCGAGATCATGACCTAAGCGAGAAAATCGGACCCTTAACTGACTAAGCCACCGAGGCGCCCCAAGAAATTTTTTTCTAATTCACAGGTTAAAGTGTTTTATTCTAGAAGTTATGTATTCTTATACAGTTAGGTCTGTAATCCATTTTGATGAAATTTTGGTATATGGTGTCAGATATAGACTGGAGTTCTTTTTTTTTTTTTTTTTGCATAGTGATATTCATGTGCATATTCCAGCACCACTAAATTACCTTTTATCTTTGTCAAAACCACTTGTACCCATAAGGATGTGTCTATTTATGGACTCATGGACTCTCTGCTCTGTTTTGTTGAACAATGAGTCTATTGTGTCAACATCACACCGCCTTGTAGCTTTGTAAGTCTTAAAATCAGGTAGTGTCAGCTTTCCGACTTTGTTCTTTCTCAAAGTTATTTTGGCTATACCTGGTACTTTTGTTTGTAAATTTCTGCAAAAAAAAGGACTTTTTGGATTTTCACTGGGTTATGTTGAAGTAAACAGCATTTTGAGAAGAATTGATGTCTTAGCAATAATGAGTCTTCCAACCCATGAGAATAGTACAACTCCCATTTCTTTAGACCTTCTTTCATTTCTCTCTGCAATGTTTTATACTTCATAACTTTCATACATATTGGTCAGGCTTATCCCTAACTATTATATTTCATTCTCTTTGATGCTACTCTAAAGGGTACTAGTTTTTAGATGTCAATTTCTTATTGTTCCTCGATGTTATATAAAAATACAATTGAGTTTTGTATATTGACCTTATATGTCCTACAACCTAGACAAATATACTTAGAGTTTCTAATAGATTTTGAAGATTTTATCAGATTTACTACATAGATGATCATGACTGATGCAAATGCAGACAGTTTTGTTTCTTCCTTTCTAACCTGGATGACTTTTATTTGTTTTTACTTACTGAATAATAACTGTTTCTTTACTCATGACATTTCTGACACCAAATATGTAGATTTTCTATACCAAGTAATTCTCCAATTCTCTGTGGACACCAACTGGGTGATGTACAATTCCATTCAATGTTGACACTAATTATCTAGAATTGGCCCAGACCCCACAGATACAGGCTCAGTACTAAAAGATATTCCTCTACTTCAGATGTCAATTGCAAGTGGTGGGTCTCCAGGTTACTAACATTTCTGTCTAACATGGCTACCAACAGGCTCCCATGAGACCTGTTCCTCTAAGGTTGATAATTTGCTATAATGGCTCACAGAACTCAGGGCAACACTTTATTATTATTACTGGTTTATTATAAAGAATATTAAAAAGGATGCAAAGGAACAGCTGGATGAAGATGTACATAGGCCAGATCTAACGTGTTCTCAAGCATAGAGGCTCTGTTGTCCCCATGGAGTCTGCAATGCATTCACCAAAGCAGAAGCCTTCTGAACTCAGTGTTCAGGATTTCTACACAGGTTCGATTATGTAGGCATAATGATTAAATCACTAAGTTCTGGAGGTCATGGGATAAGCCTGAAGTTGCCAACCCTTAATCATGTGGTTGCTTCCCCTGGAACCAGCCACCATCCTGAAGCTATTCAGAGGCATGTCAAGGTCACTTTATTAGCATAAACTCAGGTATGCTTGAAAGGGACTTGTTATGAATAATGAAAGGCATTCTCACGTCTATCATTTAGGAAATTGCAAGAGTTTTAGGAGTTCTTGCAAGGAACCAATTATATATTTCTTATTATAACCCAAGATTGTTTTCCTGTATTTGTGAATGCCTTATAATTAAAAATGTTTTGTAAATATACATAACATGAAATTGACCATTTTAACCATTTTTAAGTGTGCAGTTTAGTGGTATTAAGTACATTCTCACTGTTGTGTGTATAGGAATTATGTCTTTTGTTACATATCATGTAACTGAGTTAAAAATTATGACAGTTTTAATGTTTATTGTTATATTTCTATACTTGATATAATATTGAAATATTTATATATATTATACTTTATATTTATCCTGATTTTTCTCTACTTATCCTTTTTCCCCTTCCTTTTAGACTTTACAGAGCTTTAAAAGTTCTATTTTTATTGTATTGGAA